CCCCTGGCTGGGCAGCCCCCACCTTGCACTGGGGGGGGGGGGGGCTGGGGCTGGGAGAGGCACTCTGGTCCTCCCCACATGCCACTCAGAGGCAGCAACTCATGTGGGAGCATGGCTGTACAGCTTGGCCTGGCCCAGCTGGCCAGCCCAGCCAGTCAGGGGCAGCAGTGAGGGGAAAGCCTCTGCCTTACAGCACCTCTAGCTGTTTTTGCTGGGTCTGTAGGGTTAGGTCTATGTGATAGGTGCCTCCGCATCCCTACACTTCCCGCCCTCCCCCCCATGACAGGGCTACAGACAGATTCTGTGCTGGTTCCCCTCTCCTTGCAGCTGATAGTAGGGGGTTGGGGGCATGTGCTGGGCAACCAACCAAGGATGGTTCCCACTCAGGTGGGCTTGCCTAGGATCAGCAATGTTCGGCATGCTGGGAGCTATGTGGGACCACCCCCAGCCTTCCTGCCTCAGCTAGTGCAGGCTTCTGCATGCCCTCCCCCATTGAAGGGTGAACATGAGTTCCATTAATTTGTGACCTAGTTTACACAGCTTAGAGAAACCCATGTAGATGGGATCAGTTTGCCTCAAGCATTTTGAATGTCTCTCCTTAGCTGTAGTATTAGAATTCATGGTGAGTTTTTGCTAAATTCAGGGGATTGAGTTATGCTTTGGAAGTTAACTTTGTTTGTTGTGAGCTGAAAGGGCCATAGCACAGAAACTTCTCAGACAGAGCATGGGCACTAATACTAATGTAGAAACCTCAGAAGGTTTGAAAGTTTGCAGAAGTGATCTGGAAATGTTATAAATAAACTTTCTCATGAGCTTACTTTTACATGCTGTTTCTGGTTTGTATTGGGTATTCTATCAAGGCTTTCATATTGCTTTTCTGCTTTTTTTCTTGTTAAATCAGTTAGCAAAGAGTTTATCAACATGTTTGGAAGAGCTAAAAGGTGTGGCTTTTTATTTGGGCACAAAAAACTCGATTGTGTCTTATCTTACATGAACCAGCATGACCCTGGTAAAATAAAGCTGTCAGCTGTTTCATGAATAAATTGTATTTGCCCAATATTCCAAAAGCTTTCTATACTACCCAAAATTCTCTATTATAAAACATACATGTTCACTGATGACTTCTTGTCACAAGTATGTTTCCCACTTTAAGTTCTTTGAGAATATTCCAATAGACTAAACAACTCACTGACAAGTAAAGTTATTTCAAGAAATAATTTTTGTTCTCACCTTTCTCCATCTGTTCTCCCTGTAATAATGAAATGCAGCTCACAATCATATAAATATTATCATATCTTCAGGTCTTGAAGATATGTGGCTAAACATGTGCATGCATAAAATATAAATTCTTAGTCAGCAGGCATCCAAATTTGTTGCAACTCCGAGAGAGAATCCCTTATCTCACTGATAAAGCCAAAACCTAAATTACATGAATTTATGCTGTCATGTAATAAAGCAAGATAAGGTTGTAGTTATTGAGAGCTAATCAGATAGGAAGGCACAAAAAGTTGTCAATTACCTCACTGATAACATGCAGCATAATAATGACTACCTCAGGAGTGTAACCTGCTACAAGATCACATTTATGCAAATACCTTAATTTATTATTTAAATGAGTTAGTCTTTGTCCGCTTTAACAATATTCCCTTTCAAACCCATTGTAGTAAAGGAAAAAAGACTCCAATATACAGAAAACTAGATTTGATTGTTGAACTACATATACAGCTTAATTAGATCTTTGAAGGCTAGGGAATCCTGACTTACAGAAAGATAAACCTGACAAGAACTAGCTCCAATATTACAGACTGGACATAGGTATCTATAAGACCTTTCAGTGACTGGGTACTCACTTTGGTCTCTAGACTCAACATATTAAATTATGAGTTTCCACCTAAATGCAGAGTTTTATTCTTATGCCTTCATGTAAGACTTTTGATTGACTAATAGAGTAAGCAGTAGGCCTGTGTGAAGGACCTAGTATTTATTCACTTCCGATTTGGATTCGGCTGATTCGGGGGACAGTGATTCAACTCAGCGATTCCAATCACTGTCTCAGACCAATTCAGCTGAATCTGATTAGGAGATTCAGCTGCTGCTGAATCTCTGAATCAGCCAGGCCCATCCCTGGCAGCCTGGAATGGCTGCCCCACCCACCCCAGCTCCTGGCTCTTTGGAGAAAAAAAGCCCTGGCTCACCAGGTGCTGCGGGGGGGGGGGGGG